TTGCCATTCAAACTTCCAAAAAAAGTTATCCAATGTTTCCAGTATCTGTAGATTCCATGTTGCAGACAAATGTCTCAAAATATCCTAAAATAGTTTAAAAACCAACACTTCATTCTTTCAGAAAAGAAATAATGAAGCTTGAGAAAAAAGGATCCAAGGAGCTAGAGCATCTTTAGGTTGAAGATTTTTAATTACAGTACAACATGGCACCTGATGAAGGTAAATAAAGATGCAGTACAGTATTTCTATTGCCTGCTCTCCACTTGCATATTTATTTGCGGAGTCGAAAGCGTTGGTTCATGAGCATGCGCATTCACATTTCTATCCGAGTTTTCACTTCAGCGAAATCGGTAGTTCGAAATGTTTCTCCTTTTTGCAAAGGAAAAAAAATGCGCAATAATAATACTGGATAAGGTAGACTTTTTAAAGATAAACCAACTATTGTTGCCAGATTCAATATTTGGATTTTTTAATTTGGTCATCTTCAGAAAAGGAGTTACTATTTGTTTTTTGAATATGAAAATACTATATTACCAAAAGAATCTGTTCTGTAAAGATGTACTCTCCATTCAACTTGTAGGCTTATAGCAGGGAGGTGCTAAATAGTAAAAATATGTTATCCCTGGTCATTGGATCAAGCACATATGGAACACATACTCATCCTCCTTTGGAGGGTCATTCCTTGTCAAATCAACCAGATTTAAAAAAAGTTCCAGTATGGCCCTCTCAGATTTTGATGATACTCCATAAAACTTATCCACTATGTGAAAACACTTAAAAAAATTTTGGGTTATAGGTTTTATAGTTTCCGAGATATTGACGCCCCAAAAAAGGGGCGTGGCTCTTCAAGATCCGCAAATGCAATTTCCTCCAAATTTGGAAGCTTATAACTCGGGATTGGTAATAGCTATCAAGGTCAAACTTGGTATTCTAACTTATATTTCACCATATCTGCACTCAAAATAGCCACTTTGTTTAATGACACAATTTTTTTGTGATTTTCAATGTCACCCTGTGTCCGTATGAGTGAGTGTATACATCTTAAATTACAAATATATTATCTATGGGTAGTTGTCTCTAGCCACAAGCAAGCACAGGCTGATCAAATGAATTAAAATGGAATGGCATCCATTCAAATTTGGGACCAGCCTTAAAAAAGTGAAAAAAGCCTATGTTTCCCATTAACGGTTCGTCATGTGGACAGTTAAAATCTTTTCTTAAATTTACACCAGTTAACCAGATATATTAGATCTACTTATACACCAAATTTCAGCTTTGGTTCTCAGCTCCTTCATGGTTAGTTACTATGTTGAAAACTACACATATTGTAACATAATCGGAAATAACTAAATTTTTTAAAAGTTGGGTAATTCCATGCCATGGGATCATAGATTTTTAAAATTTTTTATACTGACAGTTATTCATGTGAATTGAAAAACCTAAAATTTTTAGACTCCAATTCCTGTTTGTTTTCCCGTAGTGGCAGTTTGATGTAAAAGGGGGCGTGGCACAAATTAGTGCACTGTGAAATTAACAAACAGGAATTGGAGTCTAAAAATTTCAGGTTTTGCAATTCACATGAATAACTGTCAGTATAAAAAATTTTTTAAATCTATGATCCCATGGCATGGAATTACCCAACTCTTAAAAATTTAGTTATTTCCGATTATGTTACAATATGTGTAGTTTTCAACATAGTATCTAACCATGAAGGAGCTGAGAACCAAAGCTGAAATTTGGTGTATAAGTAGATCTAATATATCTGGTTTAACTGGTGTAAATTTAAGAAAAGATTTTAACTGTCCACATGACGAACCGTTAATGGGAAACATAGGCTTTTTTCACTTTTTTAGGGCTGGTCCCAAATTTGAATGGATGCCATTCCATTTTAATTCATTTGATCAGCCTGTGCTTGCTAGTGGCTAGATGCAACTACCCATAGATAATATATCTGTAATTTAAGATGAATACACTCACTCATATGGACACAGGGTGACATTGAAAATCACAAAAAAATGGCGTTGTTAAACAAAGTGGCTATTTTGAGTGCAGATAACTTCAAAAGAGAAGGGATAACAGTTAATGTCATATTTGTGTAATATGGGGGAATAAAAGTTAGAATACCAAGTTTGACCTTGATAGCTATTACCAATCCTGAGTTATAAGCTTCCAAAGTTGGAGGAAATTGCATTTTCGCATCTTGAAGAGCCACGCCCCTTTTTCGGGGGCGTCAATATCTCGGAAACTACATATCCAGTAGGGCTAATCTTTTGTGTATGTTGATTTTTCACATAGTGGATCATTTTTAAGAAGTTTCATAAAAATCGGAGACGGTCGACCTGGGACCTCTGGTTGATTTGACACGGAATTACCCTGGAGATAATTTCATAATGTTGAGATGTAATCGGCGCATTTTGTGTTCGATCCTCTGCCAGGTACCCACTTGTACTCCTGGGTAGAGAGAGACAACCGTGAGTAAAGTGCCTTGCTCAAGTACAAAAGCAAAATGCATATTGAGGGATTGAACCTCCGACCTCAAAGTCAAGAAGCAGAACTGCAATCGCTGTGCCAAACTGCTCCTAACAGAATGTACAGTAGCTAAATCTAGAAACTAGAAGTATATTAAATACTCTACTCAGCTGTAATATTTGTTGAAAATTGTGTTGGTGATTAAAGTAACTGAGATTTTATTAAAAATAGATGAGCCGTACTAGTCTGATGTAATAGAAAATAAAACTTAAAAAACATTTAGTACTTTAAAGACAGTACACTAGCTACACTACACTGAGATTTTATTGAGTGTGTTAAATATTTATTAATCCAACACATAACAAATACCTACAGTAGTTGGTTTCAATTATTTTTGATGAAAGAAAGTGTATCTCTTAAGGGCAAAATTTATTAGGGGCCAAAATTTCATTGAGAAAGGTAAGTTAAGGAGGTAAGAAAAATTAAGGAAAGGTAAGGTAATGTATTTGATACAAATTGTGTTTTCTTGTACATAGTGACATATGGAATACAAAAATTGATGTTAATGAGAAAAAAATCAAAATGCATTATGTACTATTGTACATTGTTTTGATCCTAGAAATTTGTAATCAACAACAGTTTTTTGGTAGAGGGTAACATCTATGCTCATAACTCTTAATTTACTCAATGGATTTGTATGTTGTTGGTATCAACATTTAGCCTATAGATTGGTCAGTCATTCAAATTTAAAAAGTTTTCAAAACAGGCAGAAATTGATGTAATTGGAGGTCATAAGGTCATTGACCTCCACAGAAAAGTTGTAAATTTATTCCCAATTCACTTACAAATGTTTACAAATCTACAGTTGTGAGTAGATTTGATACCAATTAGTATTTTCACAAATAATCATGATAAAAAATGATATTAACAAGAAAAATGTATAAATTGATTAAATGCACTATTGTCATTGTGTTATGATTCTAGAAATTTGTAATCAACAACAGTTTTTGGGGTAGTGGGTAACATTTCTGCTCATATATGTAACTCTTGATTTAGTCAATGGATTTGTATGATGTTGGTATCAACATTTAGCCTATAGATTGGTCAGTCATTAAAATTGAAAAAAGTTTTAAAACAGGCAGAAATTGACGTAAAGTGGGGTCTTTTCAATTGCAATATTGTGGTCTACCCTATCAAATGCTTTGCTAAGGTATGTTAGTGCTATGGTAGACAAAGATTTCAGAATTTCAGAGTTTGAATAGAGTTGATGTAAAATATCTACTAGGCAATGAACTGTAGAGAGACCTTTCCTGTTACCAAATTGTCAAGGTGATGCTCTAAATCTGCCATCATCCACTTAGCAATAAAACCTTCAGCTAGTTTTGCAAACTGATCGGTAAGTGAGATTGGGCACACATTTTCAATTAATGCAGGAGTTAATTTTGTTCAGGGTATAACAATTGCATGCTTCCACTGGGCTGGAACTTTGCCCACATAGTAAGATTTGTTGAGAATACTTATTAGGGGTTGGCTTAATTCATAAGCGAATTCTTTTATCAGACGCATTGGGATACAGTTGGGTCCTCCAGCATGTGATAGGTTGATGATTTTAAGCTCATGATATACTTGTTAATGTTCCACTCTTGGGCACAATGAATATGATGGTAGTGTGATGGATCGGAAAGTTATTTCCTTTTTTATCGTTATTGGGGGCGCATTGCATTGCTATTGCTATTGCTTTTGTTTTATTGGTATTCACGTGTGCATTTGCATACCAGGTAAAGAATATAATGCATTGGCTGCGTGAGCGTTGTATGGGCAGAAGGCTTTTAGTTTGTCGGAGCAAGACGTTTATTTTTGTTAAGATGAATCTTTTTCGATACTTTTGATACTGTGACTGACTTAATATGTTTCTAATTTGTTGTTTGCGATTATATACAGTAATATTATTGATTATAATGACTGTCACTAGTTAAATTGATATAATTATATATTTAATTGGTAATAATGAATAATAGTACTGCTAAGTAATTTATGCCTAGTCTGTATTCTGGTCTTGCTTAGCATAAGAATACAGACGGAATCTACTGTTAAAAATCGGTATAATGTATGCGTTTACCAATGATTTAATTAATTTTTATTTTAATACGTCTAGTTTCGTCCTATGGTGACGTGTGGTATTAAATCAGAGTGTTTGCTATGCCATGAAGTTAGTTTTATTAATTTTATGTTACTGATCCAGGTATTGAGCTCGTTACTCTAATAATTGTTATTCCATATATATACAAAGAAAATTAAAAGGCAGCACTCTGAGATTAACTTAGATGTTATTTATTTAACACAAGCATTCGCTGGCAGTCAATGCCAGCTTCATCAGGTGTGTGAAGTAAAAAATTGAAAACAAAATAGCCATATCCATCTTCGGAAGCATCCGAGAAATGATGAAGTTCTATGGATTTTACTTTCCCTCTATTTGGCTTCATACATCTACTAATCCGCACTGCTTCAAGTTTGACGATAATCTCTTTCCACTAATTCCAAGTTATTTTAAGGTCTTCCGGGAGAGGGTCGTCCCAACCAGTGCCTTCTCGACACACGTTCTGTAGTATGGTTTTTCCCGTGAGCATTACTGGCGCTAAGAATTCCAGTGGATCGTACACCGAGCATACTGTAGCCATTATACCTCTTCTCGTTGTAGGATGTTCTTCAAATTCAAAGTTGAAGCAAAAGCTATCACTTTCAGTGCACCACAATAATCCCAACACCCTCTCAGTTGGTAGATTGTCTCCTGGCTTAATCTGCTGGACCGCATTAGCTCTCAATTCCTTGGAAATTGCCGCAATGATCTCTCGACTGTTGGATACCCATTTGTGGAGAACTAGGCCTGCCTTATTGCAAAGGTTAACAGTTGAGTCAACGAGACGAATGGCTTCTTCGATAGTTGCTTTAGACGTTGGACCATCATCCACATAAAAGTCATTCTTTATGTAATCCCAAACTCCTTGCTGCCATCTGCTGCGTGCTTCAAGCCAAAGTTAGCTACTCCTGGCGAGCTCCAAACAAGTGCACCTTAGCTCTATACTCAATAGGTTTGTTGTTGGGATCGCTATCATCCCACCAAAGAAAACGCAACAGGTTCCTGAATTTTGGCACTACGTAAAATTGATGAAACATTCCCTTAATGTTTCTTAGTACAGCTACAGCTTCTCTGAAATCTAATCAGGACCCCAACTAGGCCGTTAACCAGGTCCGGACCTTGGAGAAGATGATCATTCAGACATGTACCATTGTAGGGTGCACTGCAGTCGAAGACTACTCTAATCTTTTTCTTTTTGTTGTGGTATATACTCCAGAATGTGGCAGATAATTTATCTTGCCGTCTTGTAGATTAATTTCACTATTAGAAACTCGCTCGGCAGCATGTTGCAACATCCCTTCCATGAATTCCACGTAGTCCTTTCTATACCTTTCATCCTTTGCAAATTTCCTTCCTAAGGTTTGTAATCTCTTCTCAGCAAGGTACCTATTGTTAGGGAGAGCTTCATCTTAGTTTCGGAGAGGGAGGGGCATCTCATAGTGACCATCGCTTAACTAAGTTCTCTGTCATGCTTTTTATGAACTGTCTGTCTTCTACAGACAGGCCCTGCTCCTCATTCTGATCTGATGTTCTATGAAGTCGAAGCCGAACATTGCCTGGATTGTCCAAAACGTTTTCAAGTGGAACTTGCTGGGACAAGCCTCCATCAGGTTGGTTTACCTCCTTCAGATCAGGCACTTCCAAGGAATTGTGTACAGCCTTATTACTGACAACTTCTTTACCATGAGAAGACATCCTTTCATCAGGTTCTTCTTGTTCCTTTTTCTCAAGGGTTTCCACAGGATCTTGTACAGACTTAGCACTGACAACTGCTGTATTATCCCCTCCATTTGAAGACATCCTTTCATCAGGCTCTTCTTGTACCATACCAGATTGGGAATCATCTAATGTCTGATATATATGGTATGTCATAGATACCTGTTCTTGACAGTGAATCCTCCGATGGTAAATCGGGCATTTCTTCTGATTCCAGCAGGTCGTTTTCTAAACCACTCCAAACCGATAACCTAGCCTCGGCAATCAATACTGCTTCCTCCACTTGAAGGGCATCCTTTGCAGCATTGGTTTCTTGCTCCTGCCTTTCTAGAGCCATTCTCTGAATAGCCAACTGACGTTTAGCCTTTGCTAGCTAAATCAGCTCTTGCCTGAACTGCATTCAGTTCTACTTCAGATAATCCAGATCACCTAGAACTCCCTAAATTTCACACTTGAAGACATCTTGGTTCAGAGTCAAGTTTTCACTGTAGCAACGGGCACGATACACGATACTATAAGACGAAGGAGTCTCGACGCTTTAGTTTCAATGGAATTTATTCAACTTCACAAATCCAACATTCCATATCCAAAGATGAAAACTTTATTCATCTGTGGCTCGTTAGCCTGTGCTATCCCTATATTTTCCGTCTACCTTGACATTGGCTGAGTTATACTGTAACTGGCGTTGCCAGGTAATTACAAAATTAACTAAAACTTACACGACTGCCGTAACAATACCAATTATTCCCGCAAACTTCATATCCTATCGCGTTGTTTGTGTAAGTGTACAATTTTTTTGAATATTTTAAAATCCTTAAGTTAAATTTTTTTTTTTTTTTAAGTTTTTTTAATTTTCAATGAAAAAATAAATGTGATCATTAATTTCGACCTTGGTACAATCATGGAGGTATTATTGAGAAGGAGATCACTTGGCAACATTTCCCTCTGACGTGACAAACCGATGTGTTCCCCCCTTTGGATCGCACACGAGGGTTTAACCCATTAAATATCTTTATAATGAACAATGTTCCCCTGATTGGATTTTTTCAGACTTTTAGTATGTTATTATTTGTATATTTCAGGAACTGATTCCATAAAATATTTATGTCAAAATTACTTCTGTGTTCATTATAATTTTGTCTAAAGATTGATTGGTTCGACTATAAAGCTAAGGCAGCGTAAAACTGAAAATTACTCTGATTTTGGATTAAATTTTCAAATAGTTAACCCTAGTTACCCCTAAAATGACTTGATTTATTATAATCCTCCATCACTCGTTAATTAATATCTGTTAAAATTAGAATTATTGAGTTTTATCCAATTTATGGAAATTCAAGTTGAAATATACCATACTTTTAAAGCTGATGTAAATATTTCATTAAATTCGAAACTTTTTTTTTTGGAAAATATTATGTTTGGTATTTCTTGAAAGATCAATGTATTAGCTTCATTGTGGAAACAATTGCGCAGCCATAGTGATTGACTGTTGAACTGTTAAGGATTAAACATGCTCGCTGAGTGAGGACGTGTGTTATAGGTCGCTCCAGAAAAAAAGCACATGTGGTAATTTAATATACAAATTAACCATGTTTGATTAGAGAACTAAACCTAAAGATCTTGTGTTCGTCATGAGTAGAAACCCGAAGAAGGGGAAAACTGTACAGAGTTCCAGTTTAGAAGGTAATATTAAGTCATCTAAAGCTAGCCTCTCATCACCAATGGGAATAAGAAAGTACACGCTCCGGTCTGATCAATGCGTTCCAGAGAATCTATGCGAGGAAGACAACGGCCAGCCCTCTGTGACTTCCGAGCATACTGGTGCCGACGTTAGTGTTAGCGTAGGCATGGACAACAACGAGGACACATTACTGCATTCCAGGCAAGTACAAATTTTGAGATGTATGTTAGAGACTCTTTAGCCTCAATAATAAAGAGCATACAAACTCTGGAAGCAAACGTTAATGCCTCCATGGAATTTCAAAGTAAAAAATAGAGGATATTGAAGAAAAAGTTAACATTTTAGCATTAGAATCAGATGAAATTAAGCGTGATACTCATAGACAACACTCAATCAACGTAGATGTTCAAGAGAAAATAAATGAATTAGAAAGATTCAGCAGAAGAAATAATTTGAGAATAGTAGGAGTAAAACGAAAGGAAAACGAGAACTGTGTAGCGGTGGCTAAAGCCATTTTTGAAACGCATTTCAACATGACAGATTGTAAAATAGAATGAGTCCACAGAGTAGGTAGAATGCAGGGAGACAAGCCACAGCATATATTAGTGAAAATGTTAAGCTACATGGATAAAATTAACATCATGACCAAAAGTAAAAAAGCTCTAAAAGGAGAACATTTTTTTATTTCTGATGATTTAACAACGGAAAACCTTGCTGAAAAAGCTAAATGGAAGAAACAAGTACAAGAAATTTATGAAAAGGGAATTTGGCTAAAATTCCGCGCTGGAAAATGGAGAACTATGACAGGTGAAACATATAAGTTTAAATAAGAGCTTGGAGAGAGCTGAGAAAAAAAAAAGGGATCATTGGAACAATGATTTTGTGTACTCATTTTCTCTCATCTTTTTTTTTAACGCAAACGGTTAATGCATTTATTTTGATTTGTTCGAGTTTGCTTGCTGTCTAGTGACCTAATTTAATTCTATCTCTGTTTTAGTGGTCCTTATCCTCGGAGGTAAATGGGTCCCGTTATAAAAGGGACTAGGGTGTATGACTTAATTGTGTTTTTTGTTTTTATTTATTTATTTTTTTTTTCTTTTTGTGAGTCAATCCTTAAGATTACTAATAAATTTTTATATAGGGAGAAATGAATTTACAATTTGGATGTCTAAACGTTAGAGGTACACAGGATCATAAGAAAAGAAGAGAGCTATTTTGTTGGTTATCTTTTTACAGGAAATGCATAGTGATCTGAAAAGTTTAGGCAATGGCAAAGAGAATATGGTTATACTGCAATCTTTAACCATGCAAAAACAAACAGTGCTGGGGTATCATTATTTCTAAATTGCAATAGTGATCTTTCCATTGAAAAAAGCTATGTTGACCCTTTGGGTTGTTGCATTATTGTAGACATTTTGTCATACAATATTTGTTACACACTTATTAACATATATGCACCAAATGATTAATGTCCATCTTTTTTTAGTACCGTACTCTGAAAGAAAAAATAGTTAATTTCAGCTGTGAAAATGTTATTTTTGGAGGAGATTTCAATTGTGTCATTAACCCAATTTTAGACAAATATGGTGGTCGCCAGGCAGGTAAAATAAAAACTTGTGAAGCCATTTTAAATATAATTATTGAACTAAATTTGATTGATATCTGGCAAAAAGATAAACCAAATACAAAAGCCTGGCGAAATAATAGTAGAGAAAACTCAATCCAATGTAGGGTTAGATTATTTTCTTATTTCTAAACATATTTCCCATACAGTTTCAAATACTGGGATAATACATGGTTATAAAACTGACCATTCAATGATCACTTTAACCATTACATCTAACACACAAAGAAGAGGCAAAGGATGGTCGACATTCAATGTGTCCTTATTAGATGACGATGATTTTATTGTTGGAGTTAAAGATTATATAAACTATTCTCTAAACCAATCCAAAAGCTTTAATCCTAGTATGAAATGGGATTTTTTAAAGTGCCAAATTAGAAGCTATTGCATAAAGTATTAAAAAAAAAAAAAAGCAAAGAAAAAAATATATTAGTTCTAATTATAATCAAACATTGAAAAAGGACTAGAGACCCTAGAAAATAAATATCACAATCAACCCACGATATCCCTTTTAAATAAAATTTTAAAAAAAGAGGAAATCTTGTCTACACTTTATGAAGAGAAAGCAAAAGGTGCAATATTTCGCTCAAAAGTAGACTGGATCGAAGATAGCGAAAAACCTACAAAATATTTTTTCGAATTGGAGAAACGGAATTTCAATAAAAAAACAGTAACATCCATAGCTACAAAAAATGGAAATATCACAAAACAAAATCAAATTCTTAACGAAATTTATGAGTTTTATAAAGAGATGTATGTGTCTTCTAATCCCCCGCCTGTTGAAAAAAATGATGAGTTTTTCCCTTCTAATTTTGAAGGCAAGGTGCCTATAAATGAAATTGACAATTGTGAAGGTCAAATATCAGTTGAAGAATGTTATAATTGCTTAAGTCAGATGGAAAATGTAAAGAGCCCCGGAAGTGATGGGTTACCATCAGAATTTTATTTTCGTTTTTGGGATGATGTCTGACAAGTACTTGTGGACTCTCTGAACTATGGCTTTACTGAAGGTTGCCTTTCTGATTCTCAGAGAAGGGGTTTAATTACCTTAATTCCTAAACCACATAAAGATCTTTCTAATTTAAACAATTGGAGGCCAATCTCTTTACTTAATGTAGATTATAAACTCTTATCAAAATGTTTGACAAATAGACTGAAAATAGTTCTCCCAAACCTTATACATTATGACCAAACTGGCTTTTTGAAAAATAGATTTATTGGAGAAAATATTAGGTTACTACTTGATCTAATTAATTTTACTGATCAAATCGATATTCCTGGACATCTTTTGTTGATAGATTTTAAAAGCGCTTTTGACAGACTTGAATGGAAATTTATTTGGGAAAAACTCAAATACTTTAATTTCAGACATATTTTTACAAATAGTGAGAGTATAATTAATCCAAAGCATCAAATCATATGGTGTAATAGTCTGATAAGTCAAATAATCATGTTTTATTACCTCCTTCAACTCTCTTGCATGAAGTAAAATATGTAAATGATATTTTAGATGAAGGAGGTACTGTTTTAAATTATAACTAGATTTGAACTCGTCACTGAGGACAAGTTAGGTGATCCGCCGTACTTTGACCCTCACGAAGCACGCACGGTTCTGATTGAAAAGTATTATATGCTAAAACATGCTCTATTTAAAGAGTAATTTTGAGCATTTTAAAAGGAATTTTAAAGCAAAAGAGTAATTTGTGCATTTTAAGGACTTGCGAATGTGTACACATACGTCTTAACGTCCGTGCGCACGGTAGTATTTAATACAGTGTCACAAACCCAACACATGTAACCGAAACGTAATTTCCAGCTTCAGTACGTGCTGTGGAAATGAGCGTACGGCGCGTAAATTTTAAAAAGTTTTGGAATATTCAAAATGACCTGAAACGTGCTTTAATTAATTATCTGAAAAATGATATTAACAATTTTAAAGTACGAATACCTTATACGACGTGCCTGACGACGGTAATGGCACATGAATTTAAACCTTGTCAAGTTTAATTTAAAACCCCCTGTTGGTTGGTAATGCCACACGAATTTTTCCTTTACAGTATACGAACTATCGGTCTGAGTACGTTCAAAGGAGTATATAAAGTAATAACGAAATAAATAAAAATTCAATTTTTTCTTAATTCAAATGGCAATATAATGACGTCACAATGTCCGATCAGCCATTATGAATTAAAAAATCGTATCTACAACTCGTGCTTTCAGATTATATAATAAAAATTGGGGGTCACCTTTCATCCTATGGAGCTATAAGTGATTAAAAACATTCATGGTTTTATGCATATATAAATGTGGACGCACGCGTACGCGCACGTTAAGTCGCGCGAACGGAAAATTAAGGTACCTGACATTCAACCTTGACTTGAAGATTATGCTCACTTAATATGATTCATAAATGACGATTGGTTAAGATGATATGGGCTCATCAACTTTTTGATGAAAGAAAGATGTGGGGGTCAGAAAAAACAATTTTTTTGACCATGATGACGTCATCAAAATTTAAAAAGAAGTCAAATATTTGAAAGATAATTGTCTCAGCTATAACATACTGAAAGTTGGAAGATGATCGATCAAGGATAAGCGAGTTACGCTGAAATGCGTATTTTCAAAAATGACGTCATAGCTATAAATCGCTTTCTTTGAATTCAGATGCCAATATGATGATGTCACAATGTCCGATCAGCCATTATGATCTATAAAATCATATTTACAACTTATGTGCTTTCAGAATATGTAATAAAAATTGGGGGTCACTATTCAACCCAAGGAGCTATAACTGATTAAAAATAGGTCCGATTTTAGCATAATTTCACTGTATAGCGGTACAAATACGTGCAAAGATACCTATGTTTGATGCGCACGTACGGTATTGCTATTGGCCAAAAGATGACCGAAAAGAATGGAAATTTGTGAAAACAATGTCAGGAACCCAAAATATGTAAAATAACGTAATTTCTAGCTTTCGTACGTGCTGCGCACGTAAAAATGCGCGCGCGTAGTGGAAAATTTCAATAAAAATTGAAATGCTCAAAATGGCCTACAACATGCTCTAATTTAGTCAAAAAGTGATTTTGAGCATTTTAAAATTTTGACGCACGCGTACGCGTGCGTAGTGAAGTGCACGCGTAAAATTAGGGAACAGTACATTCAACATTAACCCGAAGTTAATGCTCACTTAATACGATTTCGAAATGGCAATTGGTTAGGCTGATATTATCGATAATGTAAAAACGCAAAATTGTGCGTAGATGACGTCACGCATGACTGAGCGCGTTGAAAAGCTTACAATGACTATTCCAGACCAAGCCAAATGTTCGCTGACAGCGATTGTTCGTAACTCATGGCAGTTTTTGAGATATCGTGCGAACAGAAAAGGGGAGAAAGAAAGAAGAATAAAAATGTTGAAGATGATTCCGTACAATAACAATAGGTGATCCGCTAACGTTAGCGGATCACCAAAAAAAGATGAAGACTAGATTTGAACTCGTCACTGAGGACGAGTTAGGTGATCCGCCGTACTTTGACCCTCACGAAGCACGCACGGTTCTGATAGAAAAGTGGTATATGCTATAACATGTTCTATTTAAAGAATAATTTTGAGCATTTTTTAAAAATAAATTTTAGAGGAAAAGAGTAATTTTGAGCATTTTAAGGATTTACGAATGTGTACACATATGTCTTAACGTCCGTGCGCACGGTAGTATTAATACAGTGTCAGAAACCCAACACATATAACCGAAACGTGATTTCCAGCTTCAGTACGTGCTGTGGGCGTGGAAATGAGCGTACGGCGCGTAAATTTTGGAAAGTTTTGGAATATTCAAAATGACCTGAAACGTGCTTTAAATTATCTGAAAAGTGATATGAACAATTTTAAAATTTTAACGCACAAGTACGAATACCTTATACGACATGCCTGAAGACGGTAATGGCACATGAATTTAAACTTGTCAAGTTTAATTTAAAACCCCCTGTTGGTTGGTAATGCCACACAAATTTTGCCTTTACAGTATACGAACTATCGGTCTGATAGTGTCGAAATACAGTCTGCCGCCCTCTATTTTCAATGTGTTTATATATTTTAAGGAAGATAGATGAGAAGGCTCCAAAAAAAGCATTCTTTTCGACCATGATGACGACATCAAAATAAAAAATAAAGGGACACGTCCGAAAGAGAACTCACAGGTGGGAGACAATCAATCAAGATAAGCGAGTACGTTCAAAGGAATATACAAAGTAATAACGAAATAAATAAAAATTCAATTTTTTCTTAATTCAAATGGTAATATGATGACGTCACAATGTCCGATCAGCCAATATGATCTATAAAATCGTATCTACAACTAATGTGCTTTCAGAATATGTAATAAAAATTGGGGGTCACCTTTCATCCTATGGAGCTATAACTGATTAAAAATATTCATGGTTTTATGCATATATAAATGTTGACGCACGCGTACGTGCACGCTAAAAAGCGCGAACGGAAAATGAAGGTACATAACATTCAACCTTGACCTGAAGATTATGCTCACTGAATATGATTCAGAAATGACGAATGGTTAAGATTATATGGGGTCATCAACGTTTTGAAGAAAGAGAAATGAGGGGGTCAGAAAAAACAATTTTTCTGACCATGATGACGTCATCAAAATGTAAAAAGGAGTCAAAAATATGAAAGAGAATTGTCTCAGCTATAACCTACTCAAAGTTGGAAGACGATAGACCAAGGATAAGCGGGATACGCTCAAATGCGTATTTTCAAAAATGACGTCATAGCTTTAATTCACTTTCTTTGATTCAGATGCCAATATGATGACGTCACAATGTCCGATCAGCCATTATGATCTATAAAATCATATTTACAACTTATGTGCTTTCAGAATATGTAATAAAAATTGGGGTCACCTCTCAACCTAAGGACCTATAACTGATTAAAAATAGGTCTGATTTTAGCATAATATC